TCGTTAAACTTTCTAGCTTGGTATTAAACGTTCTTTGGCTTTACATGCACTGTTCGTCATATACAAAGTCGAATAACCTCCGAAGAAAAAAGTCTGAGAGATAGAAGGGGTGAGTGGTATGGTATGAGGTAATGGGGTTGCGAGAGGTAGACAGTAAATAGAGCAAAATGAGTAAACATAGAAAAAGAAGGAACTGTAAAGGGGGTGAACTCTCTCAAAGAAAGATTAAAGAGAAAAGATTTTCTAAAGAGATGCGAGAATTTGCTCTGACTTCTCGAACGGCGGAGCTTCTTTGTGAGAATGAAAATTCTTGCAGCTTCGTTGCAATTACCTTTGCTACCAATGCTAACGATGCTTTATAAGTCAAACTTGTATAGGAGACAGCACCGATTCGGCATTATTCGAACAATAGACACGACTCACCGACGAAGTCCGATGTCGTTCTTCTCTCTTTCTCTCTATCTCTCTGCTTCTATATCTTCTAAATCTCATTTTCGCTGAGATTCCATTGATAACACTTTAATTCTTTTCTAAAGACTTCTCTCATAAGACATAAGTAAAAGAAAATCTATTTTACTTGTTATTGAAAGTTAATTATTGATCGTAACACAATTATTAAAAGAAGTATTAAAAGTATAACAAATCCATATTACCATAACCGAAAAAACGCATTTTTGTACATTTGATATTGTCTATTTCAAAATCTATGCGAACAATCAATTTTATCTCATTCGAAAGATAATTTAATTATCTATTACTTTTGTTTGAATACTTTTTATTTTAAACGTATACTTTTGTTGATATTTGTAAACATGTATAAAATAATTGTGATTTCAAAGGTTTCTGTGAATTAACTTTTTAAGGAAGCATTCCTTGATCTATATTTATTAGAAATTTTTTGTTTATAATTAAATTTTCTATAAAATTTCTAATCGAAAAGTTTAGAGCTAGCCTATATAGTACAGTGGCGAGATATGAACGGGTAAAATTAAATACAATATTTAATTTCAATTATATACATGTACGAAAAATATACTTTCAAATGATATTTTACATGAATATCATTTTATACATTTTAATAAAATTCCAATTATTGTTTTTTACTGACACATATTTGATGTGACTTCTACTGTGAAATTATTCATATATTATATTACTTATAATAAAATCAAAATATGCTCAAATATGTGCGATCCTTTCTAAATCGTCAATGAGTAAAAGGTAGAGTACGACTTTCAAAAAAATACTATATCAATTCAATGTACCGTGATTTCCAGAAATCATCTCTTTCTTCCTGACCTGGCATTTATAGCAATATACAAGGTAGAAACGATTGTGAGATTTTATTTCATTTATATGAGATTTCTGATTTCCGATTTCCGTTAAGTATTCATATTTACTCCATAATTTATTAGTAATTTTTTTACACAGAATTTTTTGATTATAAAATGTTTGATACTAACATTTGGATAATTTTATTATTTTAAATTAGGTATTAAATTTCGAAATTCAGTACATTTTAAAAGGAACTAAAGACGTTGTTATAAAACATAAAAAATTATTTTTAAATTGTTTTTGAGTAGGTATAATTATTTCTAACTTTTTCAGTTTTATCATTAATAGTTTTAACTATATATTAATTTGACGATTCTTAAATAATTTCAACTTTTTTAAAAATTGATATCTTTCTAAATTTTCGATTTGGATCGCCATAAATTTGTTTTAAATGAAATCTAAAATTCGGTAGAACTGATAACTGGCCTTTAATTTCTACATTATTCATGCAGATTTTGCACGTTGCTGTTATAGTACCCGTCAAGATAGACTTGTTAAGTATAATTTAAAAAAAAATGTCCTCCAATAGAATTTTTGATGCAGCTTTTTTCATTATTTCGTCAATAACTACATCGTTGAAAGTACCATCACTACTAATAAATAATTTATGTATAGATAGAACTAGCAACTGCGTCATTATTCTACCATTTATTCATTATTTTTCAAATATTTATTAATATTACTTCTCAATCTTTCAAATACTTTTCATTAATGAGAATAATTAGATTCACAAGTAAAAATAGATTCGATACTAAGCAGCTTTCAATATCAAATAGAAACCATAATAGCGAATTGAAATAAGAAGTGTAATAAAAAAAATATTAATAAATGTAATAAGAAGTATAGCAATATTTGTAGTAAACGTGTAATAAAAAATAATAATAATATAATTTTTATTTTTATTATTTAAATAAAAATTTTGACGTTACATATTGGAAAGACAATTATTTCCATCAAAATCAATTGACAAGTAAATAACAATATAGTACTAGTAAATAATAAATAATTTATTTCATGAAAACAGATAAATTATTTAATTGCAAATAAATAAATTTAATTTTCATATAAAATATTTCAAGAAATATAATGTTTTCTTTTAAAAATGGATTATTTCTCAAATAATTTTAAAAAATAATTTTAAAATAATTTTATTTGAAAATTTCTCAGAATCTCCAAGTTTATCAAGAATTAAAGAAGGTATATTTGTTGTTATATAAATAATATTCATTGTCATTACTCCGACGACATATTTGCTTCATTGAGATTCCTGTTTTGTAATAATATTTTACATACGTGGAGGTTCAATTAATCCGAAGACATTCTTGCAATCCTCTTGATTCCGTAATGTTCTGTCCTCAATTCGAACTATTCGACTATAATAATCGTAGTACGTAAGGAACGTTGCGTAACTGTATCGATGATTCTGCATTAAACAACAAAAATACTTACTTGACCATTTCACAAAACTAATTTTATTAAAACAATTAAAAAATATAAGAAAAATTTATTTTAATATAAAACAATTTTACCTTTTAAAAGAGGAATATAATTAAAACATAAGTTGTTCTTTAAACACCTCTATTACTTATCTTTGTATACAGTTATCCTACAGTTAGCTTATTTTATTCAGGAAAAAATAAGAAACACTTTGCGGCCGTGGATGAAAAGACATAATCTTGTTCGAAGATAAACTCGAAGGTGGCATTGAAATTACACGATGATATTGATGAATATTTGTAATCGAAGACACATTGAGATGGCTTACTGTACAAGAACAGGTTGCGCCAGTACCCAAAGTGGTTACGTCAGCGAGAAGGAGAGTTGCTAAACCGGTTCGATCGGGGATGCAATTCAGTGGCCACAAAGCAGCGTTTATCGGGTCTGCTACCGTCGACGATAACCTACCATACTGGAGCTGTGAACGGCAACAATGTGTAAAAGCAAGAGGGGTTCGATGGGTGGTGCTTTAGGGTACAGGAGTTAGAATTGTAGGGGGTGGTGACCGTCGCCTATACGATGCCTCGTTTCCTCTGTCACAAATGGCCAGCTTTGTTGCGAGGAAAATGTAGTTTGTTTTGCTTTCCGATGCACGACAAAAAATAATCGAAAAACACGGATTTATCTTTGACGTTTTAAATTTCATCCAACTCGCTCGTCACATATCAAGGGATAAAGCGACTTTTATTTCACTAAAAATTGTACTCGTATGATACTCGCAAACGATGTATCGTTTTTGACTAGTCATCAAAAACGATCATCAATAATCCTCTTTTTGTCAATTACGAAATACGCCTAAGTTTTATTCTGGCCACGAATAACAGAAAATCGGTTAACCATTAACGGTTAATCATCATAAATTAATAAAATTCCATGAAATATAAAGAAAAAGGAATGAAGAGAACAAAAATAATTATATAATAGTAGGAATGATAATTTTTTTCTTCCTACAAGAAAAGAAAGAATTATTTCCGAGGAATGATATATACTATATAGTACGTCTATATATAGAGAGATTTTATAAAAGTTCCAAGTTGAATATACAATGATATAAAACGGAAAGGGCTAAACAGCTTTTCTCTCTCTCTCTCTCTCTCGCTCGCTCGCTCGCTCTCTCTCTCTCTCTCTCTCTCTCTCTCTCTCTCTCTCTCTCTCTCTCTCTCTCTCTCTGTCTCTCACTCTCTCACTCTCTCGTGACAAAAGTTTCGAAGAACTCTAGGGTATATTTTTGAAAGAACAACTTCGAGAGAGAGAGAGAGAAAGAAAGAGAGAAGAGAATAAAATCAACGGTAGGTTTTGACGAAAGAAAGGGGCCGTGCTTTCACAATTTGCAATGTAAAGTGACCATCAAAAAGCGTACGTCGAGAACACCGAGAATTGGAAAATAAGTCGGAAGATACTGCCTTCTCGTTGTCCTCTTCTTCTTGCCAGAAGGTAGAAAATCAAACAGTCTAGTTCCTTCTTTCCTACGTAAGAACATAACGAAAGACTCTTTCGTTGTCAAACAAATCGTCCATCCTGGAAAATAATATCTTTTTCGTCGAAAGTGCAGTCAATTTCGTAATGGTGCATCAAAGAAAGTCTAACGAGCTTTATTCACCGAGATCAAAGAGTATCTCTGTACTCTCACTGAACGATACCGTTATATACCATACGCGATTTCAAGCAGAATAATTTACGAATGCTACTTCCATGCGCGTAAAGTGTTCAATAGGTGTTGCCATGAAAGAACTTTGACATTATTTTTTAGACAAAAAGTATCTTTAATCGAGGTATTTGCTTTTTAAAATGAAAAACCATGTCATCGATGAATGATTATATTTTCTAAAACAATTTTAATAATTTTTATATGTTTGATATTAATTGTTCCACGGTATAAATAATATTTCATTTTAATTTTCAATATTTGTCCATATCAGATCGCTCGAATTATATATATAGAAATATGTACTTATTAATTAGTCATGGCTAAAATATATTTGAATACATACGAATAAAATAAAATGTATTAATTAAACATATAACATAACGTATAATCGAATGCTGAATATGATCGAGAAAATTTTATTATTCCTTCATTATTTTCCGAGTAATATTCATATATTATTTTATATTCGACTTCGAACGTTATTGTATTCTTCCAAAAAATTTTTAATTTTATGTTTCAGGTCGCCTGGCTGAGAGTCGATACACAGACTATTCTGACGATTGCTAACCACGTAATAACGAAAAATGATAGAATCAAAGTGACGCACAGCGAGCACAAGATGTGGTATTTACATATACGAGATGTCAACCCAAGCGACCAGGGATATTACATGTGTCAAATAAACACCGAACCTATGAAAAGTCAAACTGGTTTTTTGGAAGTAGTAGGTTGGTTCACTGTATTCCTCTAATTAATAAAAACTTTTTCCTGTATTCTCGTGAATCGTAGAATACTTAAAATAAATTGATCGCTAAATAAAAATATGAAACATCGATGAAACCTATAAATAATTTATTGAAAGATCATTTAAGAATACAAAAAAAAAATGTAATTAACTAATAACGTAAAGTTGTAATCTCAGTGACACGACACTAGATATCCAATATCGAGCCGTCTCTCGGGGAATAAAAAGATTGGAAGAGCGTGTTACGTGAGTATGACGTTTCGTCGATGTAACATTTGTGACAATACATGTACAGGAATAGCTTGCATGTCAGATTTTTTGTTTCTTTGTTTTTTTTTTTTTTTTTTTTTTCTTTCTTTTTACATACGAAGTCGACGGTATGTGCATAAAGCTATATGTTCGTAGAGAAAACGTTCGAGACCACAAAGGACTCATTAAAACTTTCTTCTTCAGTAAAAATGTGTCCAGAGCTCTTTAATAATTTCGTATTAGAAAGTTTCTAAAATTACGAGTATGTAACTTCGTTTTAACTACTTTCAATAAGGTTTTTCAACTAAATTCCTTTTACAGTTCCTCCAGATATTCTCGACAATTCGACTAGTACAGACATGGTTGTTAAAGAAGGCAGTAACGTGACATTGCGCTGCGCAGCAAGAGGATCACCACAACCGAACATCACTTGGAAGCGTGAGGATGGCGAACTTATATTTCTTGGAGATGGCCAAGGAGGTAAGATAAGGAGCTTTTCGTAATGTCACAATTTATATTCTCCGAAAGAAAGGATAAAAGAGAAGGGAGAAGAGGGGAAGAGAGGCAGAGAGGAAGGAAAAGGGATATTTTTAGTTATCGTAATAATATCACGAATCTCACATACAACTCGTAATTTTGTAAATATGATAATTTCGTTCCAAATCCAATTTTAATTACGATACCCGATGGTTACATAAATATCTTTCCAAATTCGATTCCTATGTTATAATATTCTGTGATAATGATAACAATAAAAATACTTGTATTGAGTACTAATCAGCGATAAATAGAAATCAGAACAATAAAAAGAAATAAGGAAACAAGAAGGTATATCTAAATGTTATGAAAATGATTAAATAAAATGATCGATAGATGAAACCGTTAGATTATCCTCAGTATTAATCAGTATTACCTTCAGCAAAATAATTCTGCTATGCAATGGTTCGGCATAGCGTTTGAAAAATGTAAGATATGTGACTCCAACGGGAAAATATTCTAATTATCACATTTTTTCAAAATTATTTCATTCAATATTTTAAAAAGTTGTAGCTTATAAAAAAACAAATCTAAGGATATAAATTGGTTGACTTTTTGATAATTTTGAACTAATAATATGAAGCAAATTTTATGTATTTTTACTTCGTGAACTTGAATGAATACTTTTCAACCATTCAATATATAGAATATTCGTTAATGAATCATATGCTTTATGCAAATATTTTATTTTTATACAAGAATTATACAGTAATATTCCAGAAGAGAAAAAAGATAGACAAGTCTAATGAACCAGTAAAATTTTTTTTACTTCCTTAATATTATACACAATTGTTACTTTGTTAAATATTTCGCAGACTAGACAAGATATAGTAAATCGTGTGCGTCTTAAAATAAAATAAATTATGAATGATTTCTGGGAAGAAAAATGAATTCAAACGATTGGATTTAGACTTGCGATAAGCTGGTCTATATCGTATAACTGTTTGTAACAACTATTCCTTGGTTTGAGTCATTCACGGAATTAGTAAACTGTGAACAATTTGCTATGATAGACATTATCCTGTTTAGTCAACAATTATCGTGAAGTTCTTCGCTTAGTTTGAATTCGTATTCAAAAGTATATGATTTGATTGCCATTTCGGAGCAGAGTGTCGAGACCATGATCTGAGTTTAGTTGCTTCTACCCGTCGACAGATCATATGACACATTAATTAGACAAGTGGAAAGATATATCTGCGCGTTTCTACAAATACTTATAGCTAAATGATCGGTGATACAGATTCCTCTGTAACTTAACGAGTACATCCTTTTTCCTCTGATGTTAATTAAATAACAGAGAAATTGTTACATATTTTTTTATATGAATTCTTTCGAATGTTATTTTTTCGTCGTTTCTTTTCGTTCAAGAAAGACGATTCGTTAGAACCTAATCGTCCGTTCCATTTATCATTAGAATCCCTGTCTGTGGTGGTCCTTTGGTCTTACTCATTTAGAATTTTACCCGGGCTTATCCGCTTACAGCAGATACACTCAAATGCAGACATTTTCCGGAGGAAGACACGATGGCAATTCATCATCCGTTCGTCTTCCGAGGAATTCACTTGCAGCAAGTCGTTATTGCTGGTCGTCTATGTTGTTAAATTTATTCCAGACATAGGTAATGCGTAAATTTCTTCCTTTAACTACGGCTTTACAATACACTGAGAAAAATTATACACTTTGGTTTAAATCTATTTGCTTGGCCACCCCACGAGATCGTTCACCTCCTGATAAATAAACGTTTACCTTGCTCCCTTTTTCTCTTACTCGAGATGTCTCATTGTTCGTTTCGCGTTCGAGCTATCGACGATAACTTTTTACGATAATGTCCGACCTATATTATTAGAGCTGCATTCTAACGTTCGGTCACTTTATCTAGAAAGTATACTTACATATGTACGTATTTACATATGTATATACATTGTATAAAGCATATAGCTATGTAGGAACATATAAGAATAGATATCGTGAATTGAATGCTTTCTTGAATTTTCTTTCTTCTTCGATCACGATCACTTCTTCCAAGCATTTATTTTAAATAAGAAACTTTTTGACTTTACTTTGACAACGATCGATCGAGAAGTATTTCTAAGTTTTGTCTCTAGGAGTTATTTAGTATAATGTATCTATTTTTATTTTTATTTTTTTTCTTTATAATTTATCGCAATAAAAATTTTGATAAAAAAATATTACATAACATATGGTAAGAAATAAAAGATCTACATGAGAAATCTCCTTTTAGATATTTAATAAAAATATTCATTTAAGCTAATAAAAATGATATGGAATAAAATTTTTTTTTCTTTTTTTTTATTGACTTAAAGTATTTACATTCAATTTCCTCCAGGTAATTATGAGTATATTTATTGACCTTATATCGTGAAATGTGAAATAACTTAACTTGTTTATGTTCAATAGTTGAATTTGTATGTATATATATATATATATATATATATATATATATATATATATATATAATTTGTTCAATGAAAGTCATATGGATTAATTTATTTTCAAATATATCCAATTTTTGAGTCAATTTCGGAGGGATCATTATAAGAGAGAAAAATTATCGTATCATTTCCAAATTTAATTGTAATTATTTTCATAGTCATCATTGTAGATATATTTCATACATCTACAGTATAAATAAGATATAAGACAGATTCAAGCATGTTTTACTGTGAAACTTCAGAGTTGATTGGATAGGTTCAGGAAATTACTTTTTGAAGTTGGGCTTTGAATTTCTTATTATGTTAAATGTGATCGTAGTATGATAAAGAGTGAGTGTGGGAGTAGCTTTCCTAGCTTATAGAAGATATCGATGTGTCTGACTTTGTCAAATGTTTATTTAATATCTGAAAAAGTAGTAGAACTATTTAGGATTATTTAAGAAAAAGATCAATGCGTATTATAGCATTGAATATCGAAATTAATGCAATATTTTCTTTAGAAAATTCTTTGATTACTTTACCATTGTTTAAGTCTTTTAGTATTTACTTCAAGAGTCTTTTTCAGGTTTATTCTTTTATTTATTATTAATTTAACTTATTCATTTAAAAGTGATTTGATAGATGAACATAATTGATAAGAAATTTATAAATATTTTTAAAATTCAAAATCTATCACTTGAAAATTTGAGAGGATAAATTGAAAATTAAATTAAATATTTCAGGAAAATATGTATCAAATGCATCTGCCTTTTCTTGAGAAGTTCTATCCCAGTATTCTTACAAGTTCTGAATAGAAGTGATCTTTTCTTTTGGTCTAGTAATCATTTCAGTTTCTCTTTCCAGTTCTCTTCTCATAGTCAGTAGCTTGGAATAGAACACAACGAACATAACGATTCTCGACTTATTGTGGAAATATTTGAACTTATAAAAATATTATTTATTCAGTCTTTTATTTTGTTTTGTTTTCACCTATTTTTAATACCAATGTTAGAAATTTTATATACATTGAAATATTTCAGTATAATTACCTTATAAGCATCTTATATTATGAAGAAAATTCATGTAATTACATGCAACTATAGTATTTAAAATTTAAGATATTAGTATTTAGGATATGTATTTCATTGTATACTTTTAGAATTATTTATACTTCATATGAAAATCTTGAATATTTCGTTTAATATGTAGTCACGTATATTGGTAAATGATTATATTATTGGTAAACGACAAATTATGTTTATGAAAAAATAAGCGGTATATCTACAATAAAATTCGTTCATATTAGATTTAGTATTGAACAAAATAGACTTTGAATATTCACTGAATATCTGGATTTATTCATGTATCGATTTAACGAATCTCGCATCCTGTATTCAGATCAATGTTGTATTCGTATTTATGTTAATATATTTATTAATTAAGATACATGTTTATCTCTCACAACTTTTAATATTATATGAATTTTCGGAAATATTCCCCATTATGCACAAATTTCAATTGAATGCGCAATTATCCTTTTTGTAATAACTTTCTATGCTTTGTAATATATTCTGATGTTTAATGTATCAAATGTTAATGTTTTAATTATAATTTTCTTCTTTTAATTTTCAATTATTTACGTATTATAACAGATAATAGCCAATTAAACCAATACATAAGTCATCGCATAAACGAATATTCAGAATAGATTTATTCTATAACAACGAAGTACTTTTTTGTTTTTTCTTCAGAATCAAATTCGTATTTAATAAAGAAATAGAAAAGGAAAGATAAAATAGCATGAACGATATGCATTATCGGGGAAGGGGACGCAACTTCTCTGCTTGCCCTAAATGTATGATTACTCTTCAAACCGTTATTCTTAAATATTCTTAAAATACTTTCTTAAAATACTCTTAAAAAAATATTCTTAAATTACTTTCGGATACTCTTTAGACACAATTAAAACCAAACGTAACAAATAATTGAATAACTCCATATAAATAGCACTTTAGTACGACATACTAAGAAGAAACAAAACTTGTCAATAAAAATTGAACCTTAGACAAATCTATTCAGCGTACGCCAAAAGAACTACATCTCGTTTTACATAAAAATAAATTTTCGGATGAGAAACATTTTACTTAATAACTTTTCACTTGTTTCTTCATATAAAATCACCTTATTGATTGTGTCATCAGTTCCGGATTGTCTTGCATATTTTCAATCTGAGGATCGGTCAAGACATTTTACAAGCTTAAAAAAACAGGTTCAAAAAAGAAAAATTAAAATATGTACTAACAATTACCAATTTTTTAGGTTTTTGTTGTAACATTTTTAGAATGAAAACCACACAATGGGTGCCACCGACGACCAGAGGAATAAAATGATTAAAATATTTGTAAAAATTACAGAATTTGTACAGTACGATTTTTTTTTTCTTTCGAGAACGAGTTCAGAAGTAAATTGCTTTGACCATTCAGCTCCTCCGCGAGCAATGCCGTTGGCACA